AACAAAGTAACTGTATTCTAAATACCACCTTTTTAAACGGTAACTGTAACGGAATACAGTTACTCATATTTTGTATTTTAAATACGTACATGTATTCCGTTACTCCCCAACACTGTTAGCAGCACATCAAAGACATTCATGTAAATTAATTACAAGCTTTGTGTTCAAATGTTTGTGCAAGTTGGAGGTAGTTCCCTTCATTGTTGTGATCAGTGTTGGGGGTCGTTATAACACATGTTACACAGAATGCCTGAAATGCCCTTTCATATAATTAGCATTTAACAATATTAACCTATGGGCAACTGTCCCACACACCAACACAAGTCTCTGTGAGGACACACCACATGATCTTTGTCTTAGTATTTTAGGTATCAACACAAGGCAAAGATGAAAACCAGCACAGTGACTTAAAAACATTAACCGCAGTGATTCTCCTGTAGAAACATGAACAGGTAGAAACAGAGGCTGCACCCTGACTGCTAATCTCTGCTGTTGTTACTGTTGAAGTTCAGGGTCTGGCTGCTGCGACGGGGTCAACATTCACAGCATCACTCCGGGTTTCTGGCTAGCTTAGCATTAGCATGCTGTCTCTGCAGGTGCTAATGAAGAGTTGTGTTAGCAGTATAATGCAGCTGTTTCTGTTCTAGATGCAGTTTTTACTTTACCAATGTGCTCTCGTCCTTATCTGTTGTACAAACATCTATTTACTGGATGCTATGTAGAATAGATACACTGCATATATCCTGGAAAGATCACTATCACATAGCCACTGGCTTAAATTCAAAATCACCAATTAACCTGCGTGCATGCCTTTTTAAGGAAGCCCAAGTACCCAAAGAGAACCTGCACAGACACGCCACACAGGCCTCGGCTGGCCAGTGGATTCAAACCCAGGCAACAGTGCTAATCCACTGTGGCGCACAAAAGGGAAAGTTTAACAATGAGTCTTCTATATAAAACAGAATTTGAGTATTGGGTTTGGACGTGAGTCGTGTAAACACTCACTTCCTGCTGTGAGAAATTAACCTCCATCGGGCTGATTCGTTTCTTGTCTCTTGGTTTCTTTCACCCTCACGACTCCTCCCTTGCTGTCCGTCTCTGAGTTTCTTCACACTGCCATCAATTACTCCTTAATGACCTAAATCACTTCTTCTCGCTCCCATCTCTCCACCCACGAGCCTCCGATGGCAGCCCACATTTCTCGCTGAGGGAAACTCGCCCTGCGAGATGTTGTCACGACGACTGCATTTCTAATGGTGACTGCGGCGCCACCACAGCAACCAGTGACTCCAGGTTGTTTGGGTTCATTAGTGACGGTGGTCATAATGTGGAGAAGAGCTCCAGGCGACAAACATCTTAACTGCAGACAGATCATTTAGCAAAGTTTAGAGCTGAACTGGCAGACGGTTTGCTGACGCTCGCGTCATTCACGCTGGCTCATTCCTCTCCGTGTCTTCACCCTCAACATCAATACAACCATTCAGCCCCATTTCTTCCCCCCTTTGTTAGTCAGCGTGAGTCTGCAAGAGGAACCAGAGGGGATTAGACCAGAAAATAGAAAAATGATAATCCCTCAATTGAATTTCATCCTCCTTTTGAAAACACCTGCTTATGTAAAGAGCATGTATAAGTGTGTAAACCTCCTCCACTGTCACACTGGGGATCAAATTATTAACATGAATAAGCCCCAAAAAATGCTTCATGTTTTGCTCACTCTTCAGACACAAAGATCACATGTCAGAGATGATGGTGTTGACGTTTGTTTCAGGAGCAAATCAAACCATTTTTAATTAAGAGAGTGGGAGGTCTGAGTAAAGTGTGTGTCCGTGTGTGTGTGACAGAGAGGGCTTTATAAAAGGTCTCGAGGTTGAATCTGAAGTCAGTTTAGTGTCTAATTGTCCGAAGTACTGCAGTCGCAAACACGGGAAATGTAAGTACCTCTTTAAGAGTTGGATTACTTTAAAGAAGCTTTTAGTTTATTTTTTTTTCATATGATAGTTTTGTAGTTTTTAATTTGATTCATTTTTTTGTACATAAATGTTGCTATTATTTATTTTTTCTGTGTCAGTCAAGCAGTTAAAAGTAAATTGAACTTTATAAAATTGAAATTGATATGAAATCCAGATTCATTTAAAGAAAACTGAAGCATTTTCTTGTTGTTGTGGACAGACCGACCCAACGGGGACGAAACAGACAATATCAGAAACGTTTGCATGCTCGTTTTACGTGTTTTTTCTTTTTTGTGTGTTGAGGCCCAGATGGAGTAGGATCCATCAGCTTGATTTGTCTTTGACTTTGGGAGATCATTAGCTCATCAAGACTTACCCATCACACCTTTCTCTGCATACAAAAGTTTGTAGTTTGCTTCGAGGCAGAAAACAGCAGCTGTGTTCATTCTGGATTCTGATGCTGGGGAAAAAAATGAATGGCTGCAGAGGAATCAGATGTGTGGAGAACTCTTTGTTGTTTGTAGGTTTACAGAATTATCTCTTTGTGAGGTAGTGGAAGATAATTTGGTTGCATCCACTAATGAAACCAAAAATATCCTCCAACACTTAGAATCAGATTCATCCAGATTGTCCACATCATCAAACATTAAAACACAATCAAAACCTTCATAAACGATGCTTTGTGTTCATATTCTACAAGCACATTTATTTCTGGTGTTTTTCAGGCTGATTACTGTGCTTTTATATTTACAGGAAATGAAAGAAAAGCAGTTGTAAATAGCATATTCTGTAAATATAAGTTGTTCTTCTTAGCAAACACCTAAAGTAGTATCTTATATTTTCTGTATTGTTATATTTCAGTGACTTGCATAACTCAGTGGTTCCATAAGAAGTGGTCAGGACCTGGTAATGGGTTAAAGGTCTGTTGGCAGCTATCTAAATAGGCCAAGGTGTGCGTTACAGGTTATTATTTAGCAGTTTATTTGAAGACAAGTTTTTAAACTCTAATCAGAAAATTTGATAAGCTTAAATGGGAGGTTTATTCTTATGCAAAAGTGTTTGCATGTTCCCATGTTCTCTTTTCATTCAGAAGAACTTGTTAAATTTAATTTTAGCTGCATTTCTGCCTGCTGATTATCTTTGAGTTTCAGTAGGGATGCATCCACAGATCAGCACGTCTCTTATTGAGTGCCACTTTTCTCATGAGACTCATAGGCTCCTGATTTGAGAGCCAATCAAAAGCTTGGACATTGTCTCAGTATGTGGATCGTGGGGATTGGGGATAAAATTGTGGCGCAGTCGCTGAATAGACTCGGGCACCTAATCATAGCCACAAGAAAAACGCACTCACTCGCTCACACGTACACCGCTGAACTAAACATTTCCACAGCTTACCTGACACACAAGCATGAGAACACAAATGTCAGATGCAGTCTGACATTTATGTGATGTCATAATGCATCACTCCATATAGTGCAGCTAACCGCTGCGAGTGGGCATTGTGCTCCTGCGCGCTCTGTGCAGGCCTAAAACACACAGAGTATTTCCAGCAGCGCTAAAGTGTCTGAGGTGCTCTGTTTCCTGCTGTGTGCTGCATGTCAGAGGAGACCACTGTGGAAAATGCCCCTAAACGATTCTCCTGCTGTTCATGTGTGAAAACGACTCATCTCTGCTGAAGAAAATTTCATTTTCCTCAGTTTGTTGAGCTTGTGCTCCTTTTTCCTGGGAACTGGTGGATGATTTTAATCCATAAGAAAGAAAAATGTTTCCAATAAATAAATAAAGTAAATGGGCTGGTTCTTATAGCACTTTTCAACTCTACCTAAGCTCTCAAAGTGCTTTATGTAGCATGTCTCATTCACCCATCCACACACACATATATACAAGCAGTGTTTTCTATGTCTGGATGGGTTTTTTTAATCTAACGTTCCCATAGATGAACCCATCAAAAGCAACTCAGGGTTCAGTATCACCGACCTTCAGCAATAGCTGATGTGCATTCAGAACGTTTGTTTTTTACCTTTTGTATGAGAGGTTTTAATGTGTTTTGTCTTTGCTGCTGTTTTCATGCAGAAGATGCAGACGTCCCACAGGCCTGTGCAGTGGCTCGCTGTCATGCTTCTTGTCATTGTTACAACAGTCCAGGGCCAACAAAGCGACAGGTGGGCTCACTGTTCCCACTTTATTTCAGAGTTTATGAATAATAACTATTACTTATTTATTACGCATTTTCTGTTTTTGGTGTCACTTTGAATCTAAAACAGTTTTCACTCATTTAAAATGTATTCATGTGCTGAGAGATGAATGGACCCTGTTTGCTGTGCTGCGTTTGCGGCTCTGATTTTGTTTCCATAAATGAATCCGTGTGTTGGATAGAACATGTCATTGATGGTTGCTGCATGAACTTTGAGACTGTGCGCTGACTAGCAGCTGCTTCCTGCTGTCTGTTTTCTTTCTGCAGTCGCCGAGCTGTGACCGAACACCAGCTGATGCACGACCGCGGCCGAACCATCCAGAGTCTCAAGAGACTCTACTGGCTGTCCAGTGCAATTGAGGGTCTCCACACAGCACAGACCCACTCTGCTACTTTCAGCCCCACAAAGGTCTTAAACCTGGCTCTGAATCCAGAGCTGATCCCTGATGATGGAAACCCCCAGAATGCCCAAGTCAGGAGCCTCCTGAGAGACTTCCTTAATCTGTACCTGTCAAACGGAGACGACTAACAATGCACAGAAGCAAAACATGAAGCTGAACATATATAAAAAAATTATTGTATCAATTGTTTGAATAATAAAATGCACAAAAAGCACAACTACAAAATTATCCCGAGTGCCTAAAGCACCCACAGCTGCAGATGTGTCTTAAGTGTTTAAAAGCAGCTGTAAGTTTAAGTTTAGTTAATAGAGCTGCATGAAAGTGTATCAGTGGGTATAGTGGTAAGGATCCAATGTATGACTGCATACGTCTACATGACTGCATAGGCTTTAAAAAATATTTATTGGGGTTTTTTGATGTTGTTGTTTTTTAATCATGACTGAATATCACACGTTAAGGCAAACACGACAAATTATCTAGAAAACAAATATAAAACTTGTGGGTTATTGCAGACTTTTTTCAATATCCAGCTTTAGTTTTAGGACCAGCATATTCATGTGTTTGAAAGCCGCTATTTAGACAATTTCATAACTGCAGATGATGCCTGGAAAACCCAAAGTCACAACAGACCTAACTGTGACAGATAAAAGATACATGATTTAGTCTGTTATATATTTATTCATGGAAAAATAAGCTTTTTTTGTTCAGATATTTTTTAAAAAGTCATACTTATACTAAAATGGACAGTTTAATTTGTGACATTCTTTTTTTGACCATTTTCCTACAGCTGGTTACCTGGTTAAGTTGAATAGGCTTACTTTTTGTAAACGAAATGCTGTAAACTTTAGTTTTCAAATTTGGGAAAAAATGACCACCTGGTAACAGCAAGTATAAATATTTAAAAGACTGTATGCAGATTTTTCCTGTATAAATTCTTTGAATTATAAACACATCACCCCCGATATATAAAAGCTATAATACGTCACCCAGCTCTGCTACATATTTTAGCTCTCATTCTTGTCCATCAAATGCAAATATCCAAATTTTTGATTTGGCAGAAAGATGGCGAAAGTATGAAGCCCAGAAAAAGGTGTAGGACGGAGACACTTTGAGAACCCGCACAAAAGCATGTAGCAGTTTTAAAGAACCTGATCTGGATGAGAACCAAAATTTATTGGGTTCTTTTAAATAGTTTTTATGTGATTTTGCTGGCAGAGAAGCAGCATGGGATTTTCCCCAAATACATTTGGGAGAAAACAACGCTCCTACTTCAACAAAACTTAAATAGAGTAAATTAGTTAATTTGTTTTTCTAAAATACCCTCTTCAATGTCCACTTTATAACATAAAAATAGCATTTTAATTATGTTATCTTCTTTTAATGTTAAAAAGTCCTTGAAGCATTAGACTGAACATATTTACATACCTGCAGCTATGCCTTTCCCACACCTCAGTAGTGCTTTTTTTTTTTTTTTATCATTAACTGAAATGTTTTCAGGTTGGTCTCTTTTGTCCTTTATTGTGCTGCTTTTAGCAAATTTGCCTGATGCACAACAGCGTTGTTGATTTTTTGGTGTCCGTTGCTCTGCATCCTTCAGCTGCCCATAGCATCCCTCTCTGCACAGTTTTTGCAGGGAGTCTAACCTGACCTTAACACGCATCGTAGCACTGTCTGCTATGATATGTTCTGAAAAGAGAACCCGAGAAAGTAAATGCAGAGGTAACAGCAAGCTTTAAGTCGAACAGAGTAACAGAAAAATTAAAAAAACTAAGCTGAACACATATTGAGACAGCAGCATCGCACAGGAACGCAGCCAGTCTGACAAACGCAAAGGCAAAACTATTGAAAACCACACAGAGGGACGCAGACTACAAGGAGACCACAGAGATTTAAGAGGTGCCCCTGAATGTAAGCATCTCCATCCAACGATTACAAAAAGTCCTATTGCCCAATGAGTATTATACAGTAACCAAGACCCAGACAAAGATGTGTTGCCTAACAAAACAACCATGTTATATGTACAGTAGAAAAGGCAATACAGAGTTATGTTCAATTACAGCAGCATGGTCTGATTTAACTCCTATACTGAAAGCTGACTGAGGATTTTGACTTTCAGCCTTTTCAGTGAATTCATGTTACAAAGTGAATGATTACAGACACAAAAAAGCCTGCAATACAGGAAGGAATGAGGGGCTTTAAGCTGCAGTTACTACATTCAAGAAGACTGATGCAACTGTGTAAGAGGGAGAGGAAAGGAGGGAAATGATGACACCTTTAGATCTTATTGCAAATATTTGAAATCATTTGCATTTGGCTTTGTGCAACTTTTATGCAGCTGTCAGCATGTTGGAAAATGCGGATGGTCATTGTGCTTTTCTTGGCTGCGTTAGACCAGTGCTTTGTGTAAAATAAAATCAGTGCGTTGTGGTTGGTTCAGTAGTGAAAATGCAAAACTGTGTTAAGTTTAACATGTCATATAGTGCAGCTTGAATTTACCCAGAGTCTCAGTAACATTGATCAGTGTATAAAGAAATGTGCAAGTATGTATGCAACACTAATCTGAATGCCTGCAATTTTACCTTGTGAATATTTCTATTAAACTAAGTGGTGCACAGTTGTACACACGGTGTCAGCTTACTGCTTAAAGTTGACTCATTTTGCTTTGTCTCATTAATCAGTGTTGCAGACTTTACCTGAATCTGAGCAGAGAGCACAGAGTTTATCCTGTTCATCCTGCTAACCTGGTTCAGGTTTTTCCTGGTACCAGGAAACCAGGGACTGTGCATTGTTTCAGGGCTGTGCAGTTAGTGTTAGATGTTATCTGGTCAAGTCTAATCTGTCTTTCTTGTTCCTGAGTATAACCTGTTGTTTGCACCTTGTCACAAACCCTCTGTATTTCTGTCTCTAATCTCATGATTAGAGACTTTTACAATGATAAAGGAACCTCCTCGCAAGTGTTCTTGACTCGGTTACAGGTGTGAAGGGTTTTTCTTAACCCAGGAAAGAGTTTTGGAATCATCCACTTTAGGTGTCTTCTGTGGTCTCTGAGGCCTTTTGCATCCAACACCTCTTTGGGCCTCATATTGACAGCTCAATTAACTCCAGATATCTGTTAAGTTTGTCATGGAATAATAAGGGGATGTGTAATTTGCCTCTGAGAACGGGGGCGTATGTTTCAAAATTTGGTTTGCCTCTATTACCCCAGTCTTTGCTGACCTGCATTTGCTCCCTGTCAAATACCAAATTGAGTTAAAAATTCTGTTGCTTACCTTTAAAATCATAAACAATACTGTACCGTGCTACCTCATTGAACTCCTTAGTGCCTATATCCCTAGGAGAGCCCTAAGATCATCGGGACAATTCCTCTTAGTGCAGCCTAGATCCTGGCTAAAGACCAGAGGGGACTGTGCTTTTGCCCTAGCAGCCCCGAGCCTCTGGAACAATCTTCCTGCTGCAATTCGCGCCTCTGATTCCATCTATTCATTTAAATCTCAGGTAAAAACTTCGCTGTTTGACCGAGCGTTTTCAGTTAGTTAGAGCACATCTCCTGTATTTTACCCTGATGTTATTTATCTTCTACTAATGTTCCCCTGTATAAATACCCCCACCTTATATTTATGAATACCCAGTAATTTTATCTCCTAAACTATGCTCTAATGTTTTATTTCTTATTTTGTCTGTACTTTTGCACTCTGTTATAGCCTTTTATCTTTTATCTTATGTTTTAATCTTGTTGTGAAGCACTTTGGTGTACCTTCGGTTTTAAGTGTGCTATATAAATAAAGTTGTATTGTATTGTATTGTAATTCTTTCTAACATCTTTATGGTTAGATTTAAAATCCACTGTTATTGTGTACAGAAGCAAAATTAAGAAAATTGTGTCACATGTTCCATCCATTCTAATCAAATCTAATCAGCTGCAGTTTTGTTCCAATAACCATTGAAATTAAGATAAATTTACATAATTCTTCAAAATACCTACTATAAATACCCAAGGGCATTTCAAGATGGCTGTTGAGTAGCAGTACTTGCGCTGGGACGTTGGGTCAGTGAAGCCTGTGTAATCTCTGTGAGACAAAGGTTCATGTGATAAACTGTGCTGATGTTCCAGATGTGGTCAGCGCTGGCTTTCAGCACAGACACTCCAGTTACCTGTTGCTCAGATCTGTTCTTTACGAGGGAGAGACACTCATTTGCTATAAAGAGAGAGACAGGTGTGCAGCTTGTTGAGCTGAGCCTTGATGCAGCTCCAACAAGTGCTTTAGCACAGGCGTATAAGAGAAGTATAAGTAGGATTTCTTTGAATAGTGAATCATGTAAAGCTACTCTGGAGTCCAAAAATGAAATGAGCTGAAATAAACTTTTGATAAGCCTGGACTTTTATTGCTACAGAACTGAGGAGAAAAGTTTGAGTCTGGATTTGAAAATCTGCACTTAGCCACCCTGGCGACCTTGGACTGGAGGTTTGCGCCAAATGAGAAGAGCTCTGTGGCCAAATGCTGTATCCTCAAAGGAGTTTAGTTACTGAATCCAGGGACAGTTAAGAGCCCAGCGTGAAGGGTGTGCTGGTGTATGTTGAGTAATAGGGCTGGAAATGTCAGGGGAAAGATAATCCGATTAGGACCTTGAAGGTCAGGAGGAAGATTCTGAAATCAGGTCTGGCTTATACTGCAAAGACACCCGGACAGGAGAATTATGATCTAACTTTTTGGATAACAACTGCTGCACTTTGAAGTTCCTGAAGACCACTTGTTGCTGTCAATCAGTTCTGGGTGTAATAAAGTCAGGTGCAAGGTTTGCAGCATCTGAAGTGGATGAGAGAAACTAAATCTGGGCTGTGTTATCTAAACAAAGAAGAAATGACAGATAGATAATATTATTTTTGAGGTAAAATCTCAAAACTTCTCTTGAGGCCAAATACAAAAGGTTTTCTGTGTTTTAAATGCAATTTTTTTGGTTGTGAGGATAAAAAAAACTGTTTTGTTTCTTTTTCATTATCAGATAATGATTGATTTATTGCAACTTGGGTATGAAATCCTTTAAATCCATGTTAAAAAAGCTTCTAACCTTAAACTGTCAATACTTAGCTACTAAAAGACATTCTTTGTAGCACTGACCCAAAGTCCTTGTCAAAGCAAGTCTCACCACTGTCAGTAAGTCCATTTAAAAAAAAAAAAAAATCTTCAAATTTCAAATTACTTGAAAGCCAGCTCAAGTCAAAACTTTGCGATATTCAAAATTTAGAGATGACAATTCAAATTTTTACTCGTATCTGCCTGGCAGAAACAATCTTCTTTATAAGGAAATAGGAGCCTTTGGTGGAGTGTTTTTATGCAGTGGTTTTGTTAGTCTGACCACCTTGACATCAGATCTGGGCTGTATGTAGCCAACGAACTAAACGAACTTGACACCCCTACACTAGAGGGCGTTTGAGCGGGCTGTGTGCCTGTGAGATGTATTCAGGGCAAAATTTACCCACTACGAAAGGAAACTTCGCGAGATTTGTGTGATGGCTAACGATAACTAGCCTGCTGTGTCAAACCACAGTGACACCGGTCGTGGTGATCCACCTTACAGATGCAGACGCTTGTTTTGATACTCCAAGTCATAGAGGGGAAATCACAAAGCTAACCGAGGACAGAAAGGTGCTGTCTGTCGACTTGAAGCACTCCCACCTGGCCCTTCGACTGTCCGCGACTCTCGTCCTTTAATCGCTCAGGTCAGTCGGCATTACGTTCAGCATCCTGCCAGCAGTCTGGGTTAGCTAGCTAGGCTAGCCGCAGTCACCACGGGAGGTCCATGAGTTTCCGTCTGATCTGGGCAATATGCTGAGTATGCACCGGTGCCTTTAGCAAAATAAGTATGAAAAAGAGTCAATAAACTTGCTGCAAGTGTGTAAATTTATATTGCCACCCTGACATGAGTGTTCCGTAACCGTTCGCTGCGCTAACGTTGCAGATAGTCCAGCTAATGCACACGCTAACTGATGGGGACTGGGCTAACAGCAAGTGTGCTAGGTTTCAAGAAGCAGGTTGTTTGGTGCCCTCCGAGCTTTGTCAGCAGCTCAAGTGACAGTCACAAGAAGTAGTTTAGAAACGTAGACGAGGTTAATGACCGGCAGCGTCAACCGCTGGCGAATTAACCCCTGTCAGTGTCAGTAATGTCTCAATAAATATTGCGTTATTGATTTAATCTTTCTTCATTTTTGCTCTGGATCCTGTCATCAGCAACACATGGGCCTTCTCTGTTACTACAGAAATTTAGATGTGCCCTGTTGTCCCAGTTACGAGTCTTAACTTGCCTTTAATCTCAGAATATTATGGGGAGCGTAATTAAGCTGATTACTCACATCCACCTATGATTGTAACTGGGTGGCTCTTTGCAGGAGTGTCTTTTCAAACTCAATACAGAGAGTCATGTTCCGGATGACGTCGTCATGTGGATGTCTTGTCAGTGTGCATTTTCTATATATATCTGTATAAGACCCCAAGATACTTAAACTGCTTCACTGGGGGCAGCAGTTCATCCCTGACCTGGAGTGGGAACTCCACTCTTTCCTGGTGGGTGAGAACAAGCTCCAGCTGAAAGAATGATACAAGTGATACAAGTGGTGGGAATGAGATTTCTCCAAAGGGTGGCTGGGTGAGAAGTTCGGTCATTTGGGAGGGACTCAAAGAAGAGCCATTACTCTTACACATCGAAATGAGGAAGCTAAGGTGTTCTGGGCATGTCCTACTGGGATAACACCTTGGTGTTCAGGCCCAGTAAAGCCTAGCAATGTCTTGTTGTGTGAGACTGAGGTCTAGGTTTCTTTGCTTAGGCTGCAGCCTCTATGACCTAACTCCTAACAAGTGGTGATGGATGGATGGGCTTATACATTAGAGTAGGGGAGGAACAACTCTCCAAATCCATGCTTTAGGTCGTTCCTAGGGTTTTTT